AAAAGCAGCATACTATGCACGCCTACGTGAATCTGGTAGCAGCGACACTGAAGTGCGATGTCGACGACTAGCAAGGGAGATGGAAAACCTTGCAATCGCTACAGCCCGAGAAGTCCGCATTCGTGAATGGCGAGAGTGTATAGAAAGCGAGGACTTGCACGAGCGTTACCCGTTCCTTCCTGAGGAGCCAGCTCGTGGAGTACTGCTTGGCGATGTGCATCCAGTGCAACAACCAGAATTCCGCGAACTGTCGAACAAGCTGGATGAGCTGCGCCAGGATCCAACTGGTAATGCAGCTGAGATCAGCTCGACAGAGGAGGCCATGAGGGCACTGGTAGTTCGATTTGCCGAGGAGCGAGCGGACGCAACTGAGGCCGCACACGTAGAGTACCCCTTCTTGCCAAGGCGCGTGCTGGGAGTTCGTCTCGGTGATCTTCCTTTGAATGAGGATGAATTGTTTGCTGCCGCCGCCAAAGAAGGTATAGAAGGAAAGGAATCTCTTCTTCAGTCGAGAGTAGTTCAAATGGCTATGTGTCATAATCTAAATGAAGCGCAATTGGCTGACAACGATGATGCTGTGCTCGCCCAACATCCTTACCTTGTATACACTTCTCGTAAGTGTTTCCCTTTAAGACATCTTCCCTTGGAAGATGATGTTGTCTTCAATGAAAGACTAGAAGAATACGAAGATCTCATGCAGCGATCCTTTCTTGATGAAGATGCCACGGCGTCAGTGAGGTTCCTACTGGCTAGTCGTGCTGACGAACTTGCATTACAAGAGATAGAAAGGATTGAGCTGCTTAAGAGAACTTTCGTTGCTCTCGAACCGCTCTCTTTAGAAGATCTTCGCCACTTACAGGATCGACGGGAATTTCAAACCTTCAGTGATGATAGTGCAACTAATATTTCTCAAGTTGTACTGGAGGATGCAAAGCGAAGCATTATGGAAGAACGAGAAGATCGTGCCGCAAAGTTACGTGAAGTGGATGCGCTTCGTAAGGCATATCCAGTACTCGGCCGCAATGTTGATCCTAGTATGCTTGACAACCCAGTCATAGCAAAGCTTGTAGACGATCATGAAGAACTTATGAATGATTCAGATGGAAATGCGGGAAAGTTGCAGAAACTAGAAGAAGCAATCGCACAACATGCTAGTGAGCACAACCTTATTCTTAGAGGAGAACAAGGGGCTGTCGAAAGACCACACAGCCCAAGTACAAGGTACGCTGTTGATATCTCCTTTAGCAAAATAGAGGAAGACCTTATAGATGATGAATATTACCAGGAACTTATAAAACTACAGAATAGTGTCAAAGAAAGAAATGATCCTGCAGACGCACCGTTACTCCGCCGAATTAAGGCACAAATCGATGGAAGACGGAATCAGATAAAAAACGATGGAATGAAGAAAGTTGCAAACAATAAAAAAATTGCAGCAAGAATATCAAAACGATTCCCCTTTCTAAAACCACAACACTGTGGAATTCCGCTACATAGACTGCATCTTAATGATGATGATGAGATACGAAAATACGAACAAGAACGAAACACTATTTTATCAGAAAATAAGCACCATACATCAGACATTGATAACATTATATATGACCGTGTGGAGGACATTGCACGTGCGCTGCAGGAGGAGGAAAGTTCACTTGAGGCGATGCTCCCTTTTCTTGGTAGTACTGTAAAAGGTGTTCCTCTTCGTGAACTCTCCCTCATGGAGGATTCGGCGTTCGCAAAACTTGCAGCACAATACACATCGGAGGAGGTATCTTCGGGCGATGCGGCCGAGCGCGCACGCCTTGAGCAGGAGATGCGGGACCAAGCTGGTCGCATAGCGCGGGATGTGCGGATGGCTCGAAGGCGCGACGGCGTGAGGGGTGAGGACTTGCACGAGCGTTACCCGTTCCTTCCTGAGGAGCCAGCTCGTGGAGTACTGCTTGGCGATGTGCATCCAGTGCAACAACCAGAATTCCGCGAACTGTCGAACAAGCTGGATGAGCTGCGCCAGGATCCAACTGGTAATGCAGCTGAGATCAGTTCGACAGAGGAGGCCATGACGGCACTGGTAGTTCGATTTGCCGAGGAGCGAGCGGACGCAACTGAGGCCGCACACGTAGAGTACCCCTTCTTGCCAAGGCGCGTGCTGGGAGTTCGTCTCGGTGATCTTCCTTTGAATGAGGATGATGAGTTTTCGCGCTTGGCACGACGTCGCGTACGGCAGCTGAAGAGCCCCAAAACAGAAAGGGATGCCCGTGCAACGGAGGAAGAGATGCTTCAACGTGCACAGGCGCTGGCGCGTCTTGCAAAGCTCGTTGACAGGGAGCGTGGGGATGCGAACGAGTATGTGCGTGCGCGAAACCCTTTCCTTGTTTATGAGGATCGAAAATGTATTCTCCTGAGCGATATACCGCTTGTAGATGATGATGTATACCAGAAGCTCTTTTTGGACCGTCTCAGTGCCTTGGAGGACGCGGAGGCCAACGTGCCGCTGATTGCAAAGCTTGAGGATGAGTTGCGTGCGCGCGCTGACGAAGTGGCACTTGTTGTGTGTGAGGGAGATTCGATGCTTAAGAAGTATTCTTTCCTATCCTCTGCTAGTGTCCCTGGGTTGGCAGAGGCACTTCAACGCGATGTAGAGTTCCAGCAGCTGTGTGCCCGTTATGACGAGCTGAACCGTGATCCTGAAAAGAACGCAGACGAGCTACGTGAACTGGAGGAGGCGATGAAGATTCGAAGTGAGGTTGCGGCGCAGGCCCTGCGTGAAGCTGAAGCGGGTGATGCTGAGGAGCAGGAGAAGTTGCGTGTGCAGTTCCCTATGTGTCCTGATGTTCCTGCAATTCTTCAAGGTAATAGTGAGTTTATGAAGTTGTCATTGCGGAGGTCTAGTTTGCTTAGTGATCCTGAAGGTAATGC